GTGCTCTTAGACCTCTCCCCTGCAGCTGGCGTCGAGTGGCAGCCGGCTGAATTACGAGATGTTAGTGATCATGTGCCTGTATATGCTGTGCTAGCTGTCCAGCGCTCCAATATCACGGCCCCCATCCCACGATGGATTTGTAGGCAGCCTGAGTTTGCAGTCAGAGTCGATAGCCTGATTGATGAGATGGGAGTCTCTGAAGATGCTGCCTCGGCTGTCCTTGAGGTGAAGTCGATGATGCACATCGTAGCACAAGAAATCAAACAAGCCTCGTGCTCTCAAAGCTCTCGTACCACTGGTCATAAAATATCATGGTGCATGTCGTATGATCGCGCTCGCCGTCGTCATGATCTCGATAAACAACGCCTAGCTATTCGCAAGTTTCCGAAGCTTCGTGATTTTGTAGATGATGATGCTCACCTCATAGACTCCGATGGCTTTTATGAGTATCTGGCGGAGCTGAGTCGTCAGGAGTTGGACGACGACCGTCAGGAGATTTTGAATGACCGGTCTATCTCCTCTCCAGCTAGGACTGCGGGGCTAGCAAAAATTGAAAGGCTGTCTCGTGCTTGGGCCCCCCGTCACAAGCAAGTACTGCTTCAGGGAATTGTGGACCCCTTAGGTAACACCCACACCGACCCCCGAGCGTGTGCGAGACTTCTGCAGGACCACTGGGCGAATGCAGCCCGCCATTTTCGCCCCTGCCAGGACAGCATGTACTCTCTCCGTCGGTGGATTCAGGCTTGCCCACAGGACATCTTGTGGACCTTAGATGAGGAGCAGTTCGCCCTGCTTTTAGATAGGTCGAGGGATTCGAGTCCTGGTCTTGATGGTATTCCTTACTCCGCGTGGAGGTTTGGTGGTCCCAAGGCCCGCAGTTTCCTTTATGCTCATTATCGTCACATTGTAGACACAGGACTCATCCCAGATCAGTTCAATGATGCCTACCTCGCCTTCTTACCGAAAGGGTCGCTGGAGGTGGACCCGAGCCGCACGCCAGATCAGACCCGTCCGCTTGCACTTGGGAACACAGATTGCAAATTGATATGTACTGCTCTCGCACAGCCGCTGAACATCGTGGCCCGCCGCACCGTCGACGATGAACAAAGGGGATTTGTGGGCGGTCGTGCTCTGGTTGACAATGTTGTTGCCCTTGACAGCCGTTATACCCAATATGCTGCGTATGAGAATGCGGAGGCCCCTGGGATGGCCTTCTATGATATAAAGCAAGCTTTCCCTAGTATCTCTCACGATTGGATTATGTTTGTATTGAGGGAGATGGGGATCCCTGACTGGTATTGTCTTATTGTTAAGAACCTGTACAATAACATGTTTATGCACGTCCGTTTCAAGGGCCATGTGTATGGCAAGTACAAGGTTGAGCGGGGAATTAAGCAGGGGTGTCCTCTCTCTGGCCTCTTGTTTGCTCTCGGGCTCGACCCTTGGTTTCGGAAAGTCCGACATGATCTTGTTGCAGTCCGCGCTCATCCTTGTGCATATGCTGACGATCTTGGGATCGCTGCTTTCAACCTCTTCTCGGCGCACGAAATCATGGTGCACCAGTTCGTCTTGTTGGCCAGAAGTGCCGGCCTCTTTTTGCACATTGCGAAGTGCCAGTTTGTGTTGCCGCACGAACGTGGGGAGATGTCCTTCCGCCAGGACTGCCGGGCTAAACGTATTCGTCTGAAAGCAGCCAAAATTGGTCGGGCTGGTCTTTATCTGGGGGTCTTCCTGGGGCTTGATGGTCTGGAGTTGAGCTGGGCTGGGCCCTGCAGGGCCTTGCTTCGTCGGGCCCGGTTTGTTAAGAGTCTCTGTTTAGGCCTTGCAGGAAATATACACATGTATAACATTTACTGCCAGCCCGTGCTCCAGCATGTCGCCCAGTTCTACCCGATAACGAGCAGTGTGTTAGCTGCAGAGCGAGAAGCTCTTCAGCAGCTTCCGACTGCTCCACGTTTTTCGATCACAAGCCCGATTCTCTACGACTTGAAAAAGTTCGGAATCTCGGCGGAGGCCAGGGCTGTCAGCCCCAATGCTCGTGCTGCTCTGTTCCGTGCGGCTCTTCGCTCACACGAGTTCTCGAGGGCAAGATCGTTCTTCCAAGAGTTCCGATATCATGACGATTGCGAGATTTTCTATATGCGTTACCCTACTTATAAGAACTCGGTCTTTATCCATATGCTGAATAACTTCGAAGCGCTCCTGTCGATCCCTTCCATCCCTTCCACCCTGGCCAATGACATCCAGAAGAAGACCGTGGAGTCTCTGTCTCGTCTCTTCCCTTCTCCCTCCTCTGCACTTGCATTTAATTGCCGTCTCAATTACTGGTGCCCCGTCTCCCCTGGCATTTGTGACTTAACGATGAAAAGACTTTGCAGGATCGGGCAGAAGCTCGGTTCGTGTGTAGCGAGCTCTGTCTTGAAAACTCTTTGCAATGCGTGGGCCACGTCCAAACGGTTCCGCGCTGGTCGAGGGTGTTGTAGATTTGGTTGCTCCGCGGTTGGAGGCGATGACCTCCTCCATTACATTTCCTGCCCCATGCTGCTCCCCTGTGTCCGTGAGTGTCTTCCCAAGCTCCCTCCTGATTGGGGGGCCGACCCTGTCCCCTCGTTTGTCCTCGGCCTCCTTCCCCTCGTTGATTTAGATAGTCTAGTCTGCACTGCGTTAGCAATCGATGGGCTTCACGCAACATTTAACTCCCAACGGGCTGCAGGTTCGTATGGGCCCAGGTCTGCGCGTCGTGCCCTTGCCGCCCGCCTTCGCGCCCAAGCGGTTCGGAGTGCAGGCGCCCGTGCTGTTGTGCAAGGTATTCGAGGCCTGGGGTCGGGGACTTGACTCTTTGTCCTCTTCTC